GGATATTCGAAAATATTCCAAGATGTTTATTTCTTTTACTGCAGTAAGGCAGCAGGCAAGGAAACTAATGCATTCTACTTCACAGCACTGAAGAAACTGTCTATATTGCCACTCTAAATACTGAACTGTACAGTTTGGAGAATGTATTTATGCAGAATGTATGTATAACTACTATTTAAATACATTCTCACTTTGGAGGATTGGAATCTGTTGTAATAGATTGCATTTGGTTCTTCAGTTTAATACTTTATTTAATTGAATTTCAGGTCACCGCAGTGAAGCCGTTCGGGTGTACAAGAGGTCTTCAGGTGACCAAAAGGCATCAGTTTCCGACCTGTTGTGCGTTGTCCCCGACAGAAAGAGAAACGTTGATTCTGAACCAACTGCTCAAACTTCTGAACCAGAATCAAAAGTTTCTGTTAACTGTGGAAAATGCAAAGACAAGCAGTATTCGTTAACTATTAATTTCAACTGAAATAAAGAATTTTGAAAAATTGGTTTATTTTTTGTTGTTGAAGGATTACGAAAATCAGGTATCTGAAACGGGCTCCGATTTCTCGAAACAAACTTGAGAATTCTTACTCAAAATTTTTCTATATTTCTCTACATGTTTCCAACACTAAAGTCTGATTTCAACCTATACTGTAACTTTGTACAAAATATCACACTGAAGCGTTCATGTGGGCTAAATTTGCTAATGTAAATCCGGTTTTGACTGAAAACTTGGTTTGTTTCGAAATCAGGGCAAGGTTTTACTTTAAACAGTAAGTCCCGATAAGAGGTCTTACTTTCAAAAGTAAGACCCGGTAATAAGTCTTACTTTCAAAAGTAAGACCTGCTACTGGGTCTTACTTTTAAGAAGTAAAACCTCCAACTCAGCAAGAGGTCATTACATGAAATTCGAGTACCTCTAGTATAATGGGACATGTCAGTGATAGGTTTATATGACAGACTGACGTCCAAGAGTAAGATCTTCCGGACGAACACTTCACTAGAGCAATGTGGATTGATGTACTATGTTGTCTGGTCTTATTGCCTTTTTAAGAGTATGATCAACACTGTTTTAGAAGCTATATGCAGGTAAACCAGCTCGGGCGGGACAGTTGGGAAGTGGGAGTGAAAACACAAAGCACCTTTAGAGACGTCACAATAAAACATTATGGACCCGTGGGCGGGCTTGTGTTTTCAAGACGTATCAGGTAGAACTTCTACGGTAGATATAAGTTGGTCACGCTTCCTAACTGTTACATTAACTGAACTGTAATCTCCTTGTCATAAGTTACTAACCCTGAGTGTTGGATGTTGACACCATTAATGGTAACAAGTGGTTGAATGCTTCGTTGTCAGGATATTAGATTAAGCAATGCTCTGATTTTACAGCCTATACTCATGTCCACGGTTCGACTTTCTTCACTCTGAGAATGGAATGTATGGTGGCTGTTATTGCATTATATGAAATGGTCTGACTCAGCTTCACAATAATACACAAATAACGATACGAATGTACAATGAAATATGCAGCCATATAAGGAAGGTTTCACGTTTTCAACAACATAATTTCCACACTGTTTCATTTAATTCGAACCTTAGTCTTCTCCCTTATGTGTGAATATTGAAGATGGGATTGGCATTGCATTTTCGCATTGAATACAATGTGTAGACCGTAACCCAAACCATTACAACGTGTTTACTCAACAAATGCTTATACAAAATACATCTACAAATAACAGTCGCTGTTAAAAATACAATCTCTGGCCAACTGCTGTACTATTCATTACGTACCTGTTATTCAAGTAAACAATTGTCTTTTCAACAATTGTCAAGAAATGAAGATCGGAAGGCTAAAATGACTGACCACAAAGGCAGCCTGAATCATGGCCTTTTACATGAAGCTATCTTACGAATCGTGGCGCTACCTTAAGTACCCCAAACGGTGTGTATCCCTTTCTGTATAATTAAACCATTTTGGGGGGCTTTCCTCTCACACTAAGCTGACACGCCGTAATATAGCCAAGCGGCTTCAAACCCAACTTTATTATGCTCAGTACCTGCTGTGCCGTGTAACAGTGGTGTTAGCAGTAGTAGTGGAACTCGCAATTTTAGTCAGTATTTCATCTTTTAACATAGTGATTAAACCAGAAACTCAAACTCATAAACCAAATCAATTTACACGTGAATAAACATTAAATATATTCTCACTCGTGAATAAATAGTGTTGTATGAAATATGAAATATGTCGTGATGATTGGAATATAACCAGCACCCATTTCATGGGAATCATACGGCTCGTATTTCCTGGGCTGCTGGACAGGCCTGTGTAAAATGTAGTTGCGTCAGTTTTTGTAATGCATTACATTAGGCTTTTTAAAATACATCAAAAATTTGAAACAAATATCATAATCAACCTTACAATAAATTACATAATTTACCAGGTTTTGTATGGGGACATTATTCAACACCAGGCACTCTCAACGGCCTCATACTTCTTGTCTTCATCTTCATCGTTGGGAATATCTGATGTAAGCATGTTTAGTGTCTTGATTTTGGGTGTTTTTGGTGGGATTACATTGTTTTAGAGATGACGTGACTGGGTGAAATAGGCCAAAGCTCAAAGTGACCTGACGCACTGTGTGCAAACCGCGTTATTCCGGGTTAGATCTGATTCCCAGCAACCTGTACTGATCGTAAGACGCGATTTAAAAGATCGGGTGGTCAGGCTTTGGTTGAGTATGTCATCGTACCCCGACGGTAGGATCACTACTCATTATATCAATCACTGGTTTCACTGGTCCTGATTCGATTATTTCCAGGCCGTTGTCATATATCTGGAATATTGCTAAGTACGAAAGAAAACAAACAGATTGAGGTTAATCTGATATTTCAACCTCCAAAAATAAAAGATTGATATTTATATAGATCCCTTTACCACCACTGCGGCAGGATAAACTGAAAGTGGGTTCCCCAAAACCCTTGGTATTATTTTATCCTATATTTTTTTATAAGAGTTTATTTTATGACTCCCAAATAAAATGATATTATATATACACCTGTAATCTTCACATATTCAGTCATGTATGCAGTACTTGTCCTGGTCTTTGGCCTGTGGAAAACTGTTTCTTTGAAAACTGTTACATTTGTTCGTTTTAGCGTTGCGGAATAAATTAATTCTCATCCAATTAATGATTGTAGTTTATACCATGGTGTAAGGCATCTGTCTCAAGTTTCATTTTTATCCTTAGAAAACGTTTAACATTAACGGACAAATGACAAACGATGCGCCATCAGTAATTTACATTGACCTAATATCCGACGCACGTGTACCACGTGCATATCTGTTGTACGTCACTGCGTCTTGGCAGGAAGTCATATCTGTGTGATTTAGGTTAAAATACTATTTGATACGTGTTGACATCTGTTTCCAGTTTGTGTATCAAGAGCCATGTGTAACAAATGGCTATCAGTTTAACAGGGAATCTGTCAGGGGTCTTTGTGGATCACTTGCATCTGACAGAAAAGTGTTATTGGATGGGGAATAATTGATTAAAATGAAAGTGTAGTTCTATAATTGTTTACATAAAATGTTTCTGATCTGTGTCAAGTGATTCAAACATAATTGACTGTGGACAATTCAGGTGCGTGTAGTTAATATCAATGACATGTCAACGAGGTTCCAAAAGGTCAAACCCTGCTCCTTATGTCCATGAAGACAAATCTAGAAATATAATTTACAGCGTTTAGGTAATCGAATAGATATTGAAGTGACATTTGATATTTGGCCCTCTATAGTTGGACTCGACATGTAATGTTTTTTCTCAGTTTGAATGTTGGCACTATCGTATTGCTATCATTCAGTGTGACCATCCATTGTGATAGTATTGTCAGTGCACATGTAAAATGCTCGGTGGTATGTTATTGCTATTGTCAGTGTACATGTGTCCTATGGTATGGAATGCCTACTGACCGTGGTATTGCCATTGACAGGGTAATGGTCGTGTGTGGTGGTATGGCTACCTAACACAGTGTAATGGTCCTGTTCGATGGAATGATATTTAATTTGTTAAAGGAATAGTTCTATGGGATGAAATAGTGTTATAGATGTTAGAATAATCGTCTCGTGGGAAGATACGGTAATTATACCTGCTAGAGTAATGGTCGTGTGTGAGGCTAACCATAAGTGTATATACTGTGGTGGTTCTGTGTGATGGAATTGCTACCTAACACGTCGATGGTCCTGTGAGATGTTACGGTATTTTTATCATATGATGTGTAGCTTCCTCAACAGGATAAAGCCAACGGGTCATATACGGATGAAGATGCAAATATGAAAGGCCAGGCAGGTACAACTTTCACTGTTTAAGAACAAATATGGCGTCGCCCATGTCAATCGACGACCGGGACAGAATTAACCATGGAATATGGAGAAACGACTGATATAATTGTTATCATCACAAAACAATCGTCTAAGATACTGAAAATCAGTGTCTTACTGGGACGGAGGTGAGCAGTTAGGGCAACCTTGGAAAAAATAGATTGCGAAATAATTAGACGAAGACACCAGCCTAGCGGGATCAGTTTTTAAAGCCAAGGTCCTTTTCCCAATTTAAAACAGTTGGATTTGGCCGGATATGTCCGAATTGTGACCTTGTTTCAATTTGTCGCTGTGACCTGCTTATGGCAGGTTGTTTGTGCGAGATGAAAACAGGTTTATTGCATAATATGGTAAAGAGGTTATCACGTCTCTGTATTTTGGGATGGTATATGTCCTGCATTAGGAATAAATATGTATTTAATCGAGCCTTGGCGATTGTGTATTCCTAATACAGGATATTTACCATCCAAAAAACACTCTCGTGATAACCTCTATATACCTGTTTGAGTAGTGGTCTCACGGGATGATGTGGTGTTGACATTGCCATTTTGATGGTCTTGCACACACACAGTTCCATGTCCCATATTCAATAACCATTTGGTTACATAAAACAGACAATCCATAAACTGAATATTGAAACAAACGTTTTATCCTGTCACAGAATCATATGAAATATGCATGCCATTGTACATAAACCATGCAGTAAACATAATGATAAACAACAAATGTGAGGACACTTTGAATTTATACCAACCAAAGACAATCATCGAAACGGTCATGTTAAAACAATGCCAAATTTTATATTTGACGAAACAGAAGTTCTACACATGGAAATGTTGAAATATGTAACTATGCATTCATTGTTTCATGTTTTTAATAGAACGTACAAAGATCATGATCGTTTTACTGTTTACATATTTCAACCCTTGGTGTGGTAGTCAATGGACAAACAAACACCCCATAGCGAAAGTTAAGTATAATGCATTAATTTATAGCCAATTAATAGCCCAGTTCCTACTCATTAAACAAAACAAAATGTAGGTTGTGAATTACTCTGAAGCATTCGAATCAAATTCAATTGTTACACTCAAAAAAGAGAGAGTAATTATTTGATACAATAAATTCAGAAAGCCTGGCAAAATATACAATTTAAGGATGTTTGTTACAAAGTTCGCACGGATCTTAGGAAACTCAAACACGTGTTTGCCTACTTTTTTAAGCGCATGTCGGAGAACATCTTTTTAAATGTAGACATTACATACAACTTTGTAAATTATCAACAATATTCACGCCCAGAACATTTCATTCCATGCACTGACTGAAGTAAACAAATTGAACAAGTAAACAATGGCTTTGTCGTTGCCCTGAACCTTTCAACTACTAGTAACCTGATTTACGCATCTGCGTGTTCTTTTCAAGGTTTCATTGAAGGACCTTTTCAGTTCACACCAAAACATAAAATATTCCTTTTTCACAAAACGCCTTTAACTTTACTGTTAAATCTGTGCGAACATTGTATATGTCAATAATTATACTGCGTCAGATTGGTTCTCGTTAGTCCCCAAACATTTGGTCTCGAAGCGATCGATCTGCCAACACGCCTCACAATCAGGAACATCGACACGACATTTAAGAGGTCCTGTGAAGAAAACAATCATATTTAACTATAGAATTGATGGACTGAATCGCACCGTGTATCTTGAGTAAACAGAAGAGAAGAATGTATGTCAGTTGCATGTCAGTAATAACTGTAGTATCAATGAAAACGGAAATGATGTATGGGTTGAAACTTATTTTACTGCTTTAATGCGATGTGTCGGTACAATAGACAGTACATTTATCATAAAGTATGCATTAACGTTTAATGATAATTTAAGATATTATATTGTCAGAAGAATACAATGGAGATTTCTCATGATTATGGAAAGGGTTTTGTCGCTTTTATTCAACTGTAACCTTACACATTGGCATACGATTTGTCCCCGCTTAGCAATATTATTTCTGGAGTTTGAAAGCCTAAACAAATAACGAAAACGTTTAATATTCTCATTACCCCAATCCTGTTGGTTGGTGGAGATGACGGAGACGCTGGTTGGAGGTGATGTCAACGACATCACTTGCGCGCGTGTAACACCGTCAGCATTGACTCTGAACAGTCTAAAATATAGAAGGCAGTGCTAGCGGTAGGCAGAAACATGTACCAGATAAACGTATTGACACTCTTATCTATAGACAAAAATCAGAATATGTAAAAAGATCGTCGAACTCAAGCAGAAATAACTTCTAAACTAATGACAATGTCATTTCAGAGCAATTCTGAAATAAATCCTACCCTGTTTCATTGGCATAGAAGTAGTAGTCGTTCACGAGACCAAAAAGCGGACTTGCGTTGTCCACAAGATTTGTGACGTCATCACCGTCGGTGTCGCAGCTCATGAGTTGTCCATTGCTGTACCACATCAGTCTGTCAACTGTTAAACAGATGGACATAATTCTATGACATGAGCATCACATCAGTACCTCATATCCTCATATATATGATCAAACTGCAAATACAGTGGATAACCTCACTATTACCATACATTAAAGACTACCATCTTCACAAGCACACCTGTTAACCATAATACAGACAATAGTGTATTAAGTGTAAAATTGTGAGATGCGGATGCTCTGTGCGGATATCATGAATATATTATGCGTCGTTTCTGTCTTCCCATCCTCACAGGATCCGTCACTGAATATCAAATTTCAAGACCAACGTATGATTTCTTCATATTCAAATTGTTGTCACCACCTTCATTGCTCACTTATTTCCAACGGTCGTTATATGGCTGAAATATCACTGATGCAGTTTAATAATACTAAATGGACTTAAATTACACGATCCCTTTCGAGGGACATATATGTACATATGTACATGTCGTACACACAGGTCATACTTGATCATTATCCTTCGTATTGGATGATATCTTATCGGTTGATGTGGATATAGTAAACATTTACTTTTATTATTTCGGTATTTTAATAAGTTTACCTTCTGGGTTGAGCCTAAGACCAAGAACGTCTTGTCCAGTGTTCTTGAGTAAAGTTCTCGAGTCGTTGCCATAACGGTACTGCTGGATTGTCTGCCCCTCTGACCAGTACATCATGCTGTAAAACACATTATTGTACAACTTAAATCTCTTGAGTATATCAGCTGTATGTTGGTCGCTTTTTCTCCAGTCATCAAACATTCGCTTCCTCCCGTACTCAATTAGTTTTCGGGTTACCTATCATATTTGATAACGGAGATGGATTATGCTCTGACCAGAATATACTGATGTTGCACTACTTAAGGGTTTTAAGGTATTTGAAATTTGCGTGTGTAATTTACCAAATGAAATCTGCAGGGGCTCTAGTTTTAGTCAATAAGTGTGAATCTGTCAAATGCTATTCAGTTGGTGCCTCCTCCCTCTTTCTTAAAAATGTAAAAACACAACTGCCTAAAAGAAGTGTACAAAGTGATGTCATGTTTCACAAAGCAGGTCCAGATGGTGAGCAAATTTACATGGAACGGAAGAACGAAATCGTTTAACGTCTCCCGCTTCATGGTCCCAGTTTGAGGAGCTCGGGAAGAATGTCGCCTATAGTCAACGAGGGTCCACTTTATACAATGGACGGCGCGAATTATTGCCCTCTAGGTCATATATTTACAGGCCACAGGCGGTGCAGTAGACCTGGTTCGACTCCCCACATGGATACAACGTGTGGAAGCCATTTCTGGTTTCCCCTGCCGTGATATTGCCGACTGCGGTGTACAAGCACATTTCTACTTAAGGGTTTTGCCCATCTGCATTGGCCTTGTGGCCATGGGTATTCATGCGCTGCATTTTAAGTAATATTTGTTCTTTTAGGGACATGTAATTATGATGGGAAACTAACATTAATACTTAATCGAGACATAAAAGAAGGTATATTGCATATGAGTTGCATCGACATTGCTTTGCTTGGTTAAAATATGTAAAGTTGTGTGTAATAATGCAGGTTGTCAATGGCCAATGTGTTGCTTTGACGTTCTTATAACATAGTAATTTTAATGAGTATTTCAAATCAATCCAAACAGGCTTACGTCTATTGACGATGATATTGTTCGTTTTGAAAAAGTTTCGTGTTTATTAGGATTTTCACCTGAATTCCCGTACAGCGACAGCTGATTCCTAAAAAAGAGCATACCAAATTTGCAACCTGCAAACCTACATATATTATAGTTAATAAAAATGCAAATGACTGCATAGTATTTAATCGTCAGTCTTAATCAAAGCTCTGTCTCCTCATCAAAGATTTTATGGTAAAAAATATACAGTTTTTACATTTACATAAAGGTTACGACAACATACAATTTTTCTTGATGTAGGACAAGGTCACGGGGGTCACTGAGTCCATCTAGTATCACCATGTCATCTTCGGTGTACCGGTCAGAGGTCACTGCCCTGAGGGAGCCAGTGCGCAGGGTATAGATCACAAGTCCTGACCTCTCGTCCACAGCCAATCCTGTAACCTCTTCACCTGGAACACAATAAAGTAAAGCCTCTGTGATGCTGGTGTAAGAACGGAAGCTACCAATTCATGAAAAATAATACTCACTAATCTGTACAAAGTGTTTGCTAAACGTCTGCACACGTGTCCTGCTCATGCCCCACCGTTACCAACCCTCGTGCGTGGAGGTCGAGGTCATTGTATTATTGACTCCAGGAACAATTCTATAACTGCAATAAAATCTAGAAATGGCTCCAAGAGTTGCTTGTTAGTGAATCTACGTTAATCTGCACGTGGTTCATCAAGTGAGTGAGTGAGTATGGTTTTACGCCGCTTTTAGCAATATTCCAGCAATATCACGGCGGGGGACACCAGAAAAGGGCTTCACACATTGTACCCATGTCGGGAATCGAACCCAGGTCTTCAGCGTGACGAGCGAACGGGAACACTAGGCTACCCGACCGCCCCTGGTTCATCAAGACCATTGGGCAAGCCATATGACGAATAGGCACGGTGTCATGTTCCAAAACAAGGTCTCTAATATTATGTAAAAATCTTATTATTATCAGGGGTGGGCATTTCGTGTACATTAATGACTGTACCCAGCATTCTATGATTCTCCAACGAGGCGGCTAACGGGGATCGGGTGGTCAGTGTCATGTACATATTGCGTGGATGGTAGTTTCAGTCATTGTTTCAGTCTCTGAGTTGCTTACTCTTAACTTTATATTTAGAGGCCACCATGATACAAAAAGAACATACCTGCGGCGTGAAACAACACCCACTCATTTTCTTCAAGTATCAAACAAAAATAATTCAATGACGAACCTATTGTCCGAAATCCACCACAGCCTGGAATCACTTAAACGTCATTCTGAGGAAGCTCCTTTATTTCTAACATTAATGGCAAAGGTGCAGGCGTTCAGTCTTACTAACTTTATGACACATACGAAACTCTAACTAGTCATGGTTGCTTGCCGCCTACATACACTGATAAGAGTAAAACAGATCGAGATTCCACAAACCTTTCAGCTTGATGATCGTAAGCTTCCAATTTCCATCCCATCGGATTCTTCTAATGGAGGCTGGAGATTGCGTGCTGTAGTAGATGAAGTTGTCAGCGGCGCTGTAGACGTGATGCGTTACACTACCGGTGATGTCGGGGAGGTTAATAATACTCTCATTTTGGAATGTCAGGTGACTCTTGGTCAGTGTGTTTTGACCATTGGCCACCAGTAGGTACTGGTGAGGAGATTCGATAGCTGTTAATGTAAAGCAGAAAGCAACATAACAACATTTCAGATATATGACGGCGGTCTGCGAATAATCGAGTCTGGACCAGATCATCCAGTGATTGACATCATGAGCATCGATCTACGATTGGGATACGATGACATGCAACAACCAAGTCAGTGAACCTGACCACCCGATCCCGTTAGTCGCCTCTTACGTCAAGCATGGGTTGCTGAAGACAATTCTACCCCGGATTCTTCAAAGGACGGGGTGGTCAGGATCGCTGACTTGGTTAAGCATATCCCAGTTGCGTAGAACGATGCGCGTTGTGTCATTCACAGGATTGTCTGGTCCAGGTCAGATTGTTTCCTGTCATTATATAGCTGGTGCGGCGCTCAACAATAAACAAACAAACACTAGTTTTATATATGTTCATAGTTGAAGTATATAGAGCACACTGGTAGCTACATTTCGCCTGATGTGCACTCTTTACATTTACATGGAATAGTGTTGTCTTCAATCTGGGGTTTTGCATAAAGAAGAAGATCAGGGTTAGAATAAGTCATTTTATACTTGATCCATTATTTACAAACCTCCTTCACATAAATGGAGCATTCCTGATTGCACTTACCGAGACACATGGTGTGGTATGGAATCCCTGTGTCGGGAGTTGTAGCAAACCCCGGGCAGGGCGTACAGTCCAGCTGTCCGGAGTGTTCTTGGTAGAAGCCAATGGGACATTCCTCGCACATGCCATCAGAGTAGAAAGTACCAATGGGACACTTCACTGATAAAACCAACAAAAAAGTGGGAAAAGTAAAATTTTACTGACGCTTCATTTTCTTCGGGGAAATTAATGCTTCAACATTTAAAGAATCCCAGCAATAAAGATCTAACTAATGCAACTGTATATAATGTTTAGCTTGTAACTAACCATGTGTTCATTACATGGTATTTGATTATGATTGTTGGCTTGTCAACACCAGACCAATGCGTTCGGATTTCACCAAAGTGGTAAGTAAGACATGTATCACTTCGAGCTTTTCTGGGGGCACGGGTGGCCCAGTCGTCTAAGGCGCCGCAATTCGCTGTGCAGAGTTGCGTCCCTTGGGCACGGCAGAAACCTATAATTGTGGGTTTGAATCCCGATTCGCCCCGATTATGTTTCTAGGTTTGTCAGCACCATACCCGTGCTCGTGGGTTTCACCGAAGTGGTAAACGTCTGAGACCTGCATCACTTCGGGCTTTCCTCCCACATTAAGCTGACACACCGCGATATAACTGGTATATTGTTAAAAGCGGCGTTAAACCAAACTCACTCACTCGAGCTTTTCTTCCGTATAAAGCCGGCCGTGATATAACTGAGTATTATTCAATACACAACCCATTAACATGTCCCTTTACCATCAGACTCTTTACCATCTTTACCATCATGCTTGTCAATAGAAAGATGTATGGTTTGTGAACATCATTGTTGTTAACTCTGGCAGTTTGTGACCACTTACAGCAGTATAATCCCCCCGGAACACGACCAGCAGCACACGTGACATTTTGTTCGACCATCAGATAGGGTTCCTTGTCTCCGACTGTGAAGTTCCTGTAACCCCCGGACCTGACTTCCCAGTTGGCTTTATCCAGGGTATCCCAAGCGGCAGTGATTGGCTCCAGTCCCCCAGTAACTGTGCAAACCAAAACATCAAACTCGTGATTGTTCTTCCAGAATAGTCCTCTAATGTAAGAGGACTGTGTTATTAAAGGGGTCTCAGCCTGTGTCAATTGGCATCCTTAGAATGTTGATTCCTTGTTTAACGCCGAAATCAGCAATATTCGTCTATGAATAATCGAGTCTGGGCCAGACAATCCAGTGATTGATATTATAAGCATCGATGTACATAACTGGGATACAATGACATGCATCAACCAATTCAGCGATCCCGTTAGTCGCTTCTTACGACAAATATGGGTTATTGAAGAACAATTCTAACAATTAAACACTAACGAATCATCTTTGTTTGTCTGCTAATTGTATTACGTATCTCGAACCAAGTGATTAATTGTTACACAGTGTCTCGACTTAGACTAGAAATCTGCAGGAGACGATGAATATAGCCCCTCTTTAACAGGGTATGTTGTATTTTAGGGACTGAAATATGTTTTATGTTGTAAAACAACGTACAGCTCATCCAAACAAAAACGTTTCAGTTCCTTAGACCATGTACAGCATGAAATGTTAGACCTAACTTGTTATCAGCCAAAAGTAGCTCTCTAATTCAAGTGTTTCTGACAATACAATTACAATAAATACATATAGCATTACAAAATAATGGGGGGGGGGGGGGTTAAAAGCTTTCACTCCTCACGCCGAAGTTTTTGGATCGATGCCCAGCAAGGGTACATTGTGTGAAGCCTATTTCGGCTGTCTCTCGCCGTGATATTGTAGCAATAGTGATACAAGTTGTGTAAAACTATACTCACTCACTCCAACAGACTGGTCAGATAGCTGTCTTGATTGCCTTTACAAAACGCAACCGATAAATATGTCAAAGCTTAATGCTGTAAAGATATTGCTCCCAATGAATCTGTACTTATGAAATATTGACATATTGCATTTGAGCTACACCCCAGTGACAAGTCACTCATAAATACAATGAGTAAGTACCAGCACTAACATTGAAGCCTATTACACGGTATGTTGGAGTGTATTATGATCATGTGAGTTTCGAAATGAGTATAGGCGTCAGTGAAGATGGCGTTGCCTCGAACATACTACACGAAATCTGTTCGACAGAAGAGATAACATTTAAATGTTATCAAAATGTTTTGACCACTTTCATGCCTACTACATACATTGAAATGTAATTATACTTAGTAATTATGTTCACGAACCTTCTATCCCGCTCTTCTCGTGTCCGTATGGCTGCACCATCATATGACCTTGATGCATTGTTATTTCAAGGTCACGGTGGGCTGGAGTGTTAAGTTCGTTATTTTCGTGCGTGAATCCACCGTCGGAAGAAAGCAGAGTTTCACTGATGGAGCCAACTGAAAACATTTACCAGGAAATAACGCAACATTCACTCATTAAGTCATATATTAATGGTGTCTGCTTGTGTTCTTTTGATTTACTCTTTACCTGTCCATATCCATTTTTTTTCTTGTGTATTTGTACAGATATTTAATAAATGTTTATGATTGGTTATAGGACCGATTGTTATATATTCTTTGGGAGTGGGGGCGCTGGTAGGTTTGTTAGAAACAGACTATTTACATAAACATAATTTAAATACTTCCTCAGTGACACTAAAATTATTATCATGATTATTCTGCTTCAGAAACATGTCAGTATTAATAGATGCCCCATGTCGATGTAGACCTAACAGCGAAAGGACACTACACTCACGGTCTTGATTAGTCTGCATCGGTGAGACATCAACGGCACCGGGTACAATGTCAATGTCGAGAGTCAGAATACCCAGTTGCACACCTGAATTATCTGCACACACGGTTGTATCGTCATCACAATCCAGGACGGTAACATGCCATTTACAAACCCCGTTTGTCACACATGCAAAATTCTTGGCGATCCCAGAGAGTGATTCCTTCAGAGAGGCTACCCTTTGTCGGTGAACTACATTATATTTCAACTGGACGGTGGCAGGAGATGCAGGTTCTACAAAAGATGAAACGATTTAATGACATTTTGATTTCTCTCTCATAGTATGGTGACCACATTGGGGATTGAGCGATTGCTTTTCCCCACAGTCTTCTGAGCATAAGAACAATTTCCCCAAATGAGATTTCAGCCTCTGGTAATAATGTAACAGATAGGATACTAGAAACATAGCTGAAAATGGGGTTAGTAATATTAGTATATTACTAAAGTCAGGAATCAATCCCACGGCGCTTGAATGATTTAAACATAATCCACAAGGTCACCCTGCTGCTGCTGCTGCTTCTGAACCAGATGAAGACAAAGCACAAACCTGCACATGACTGTATGACCCGTCCTGGCGTCCACTCTCTTTCTTTGCAAGTATACTTCATGCCAGGGTGGAACATTACCAAACCAAGTCGGCATTTACTGTGACATCTCATTACGTCACCGCTATCTGTTGTGCACTTCACGTCGGTGATATCCCGGCTATATAGAAGATACTCTTTGTGGCAGACTGGTAATGAAAGTGTTCAGACATTTTAGGTTCAAGTCAGTCTTCAATAGTCAACGTTTTACTGTCAATATCCAATGTGTGCAAGGTAAAAATGGGCGTCAGTTGTATGAATGACCACGATAACAGAAGAATGAAATACAAAAGAACAGAGCTTGGGCGATAATCTGTTCAGAAAACTATCATGACGATCGCAGTGACCAGAAGGCCAGTGTGTCAAGAAAATGTGTTCGAAATATTTCTCTATTGAATATGTAAAAATACAGACATAACAACAAATATCAATTCTATAATTTAAATCCTACAAGAGAAATAACCTAAAATACTAAAAAATAGATTGTTTATCTCGATTTGAAACGCACAGTGTGTTTATGATAATTGATGTTGCTCTTGTAAGATGAAAACAGGAAATGGTTAAATGATTAATTAATTACCTCGACAAGGTTCGGCGTTACAAATTTCTGTGTTTATGTAGTTGCCCACACAAGGTTTGCTACCGTCTTTAAGGCTGTCACAGAAGCGATGTCTTGTTTTATGGCCACGCCCACACGTCACGGAGCACGTCCCCCAATCGTCCCACATGCCCCATTCACCATCCGCTGTGAAACATCATTTAACTCATTTTACCGAATACTCTAGCGGGTAAATTAACAGGCATCTGCCAATCATATTACAAACTACATCTGTGTTTGCAAATTTCACAATAATATGAAAAGCGTAAGAGAAAAATAATGCTGAAATACCAAAAATACTACTCCCTGCCATATACCACATATATTAGTGAACGACCTTTGTCGACCCCTAACACAACCGGCCAGGCAGTCAGGTCAAAACGTTATAGATTATAAAATGTGAATTAACCGTTTTGAAAATGGCAGGGTTTTTTGTAATCATCCCCAACCATCATGCATCAGTGATATTTTAGGTTTTAATTTTTAATTTTAATACTTATATCTGTGAATATACCACAGTTTAAATCCTGCAAATGTTTTTTGTTGTTTTTTAAAAACAGCTGTGGTATCTTACGCTGTTCATCATCACACAGCTTTCCAGTAAATCCAGGAGGACAAGCACAAGTGTACTCGGACCCTTCCCCCAGTCCTGCCAGACATGTTGAGCCCTGAGCACAGTCGTTGTCTTCACACTTGTCTGGCGGGGTCAGACACCGAGGGTCTGTGTACCCTCCACTGCACTCACACTGTGGCTCCATGGTTGCGTTCAAAGAGCACCTCCCAAATGAGCCACAGAATCCCTCACATGGGTCGATTTCTGTGGTAAACATTAAACATTTAATTAGTACCCCCAATCTTAGGACAATAACAATACAAACAAGACATTAATAAGTACCGACACGTGGGTATAATAGTATACAAATTCACTTGCTGGCCCTACTTTAGACGTAAATCTTTCGTAAATATGTTTTTTAATCAAACTTATTTTTGTTAATTTTATTTCCTTATGAACTGTTTGATTTAACTAATTCTAAAGATTCTAAGAATTTGCATTTTTGGTGTAATCCAGTATACACGATGTAATTATATTATGGATGGAAACCATGGGCATACTTATTGCATTTAGGGACCTGGACTAATCAAAGCTTGAATATTATATTCAGCTTTCCCTGTGAGGAGATATCTATAAACTCAAAGGGAGGAATTATGTATCTCTTAGACACAATATTGATGCAGAACATATACTGGACCTCACTATTACTTAAACACAAGACTGTATGCATGAAAAGTGTTCTAAAAATAATTCTCTTAACAGGTTAGCGCTTTTTAAACTTGCTTTGACAGTTAATTCGATAATAATATAACAACAATGTTCTAAATACGCAACTGCACAACACATTCATAGCCTCACCTCGGCATGAAGATGGAATAACCTCCAGAACCCGGTCGAGATAAGTCATGTTGAGGTTTCCAACCGAAAATATAGTGTTTGGCAACATTGCCTCGCACGATCCGGCTAGGGTTGCAATAGTGGTTGGATCAACTGACGACACCAACGCCAAACTCTTGAGTTGAACAGCTTCATGGAAAAATAGACATTATCACCATATAATTATATCACCATGTAGAATTATGTGACAGACACGTATTCAAAAATCTTATTTTCTGATTACATTCACCTAAAATCTGGTTTAGTTTCGAGAAGTAGCCTTGAAGACGAAACGAGGGGAAGGTGAAATAGGACTCTTAATTGTTAATATGTTTAAGGACAATGTAGATACATATATATGGACGCTATCAATCGGTTGTGTTGGGATGGTAAGTATATCCTGTATTAGGAATAAACTTTGCATTAAGTGAGCTTTGGTAAGCCAAATACACAGTGTTTATTCCAAACACATAATATTTACCATCCCAAACACACAAGCGTGATGGACATTACAACATTATCATTTTGATTCATTTTTCAATTCTATCGTTGAAAACAGTACTTTCATCTCTCACAAATCGTATCTATACATTGCAAGTTTTCCTGGAGTGTGCGCATTAATATATTACGTTACAAAGTCAGTGCTTAGTCGGTTGGAAAGGTAAAAATACTTCCAATTGAAACGTGTTTTTAAGACATTGATTTTCCGTATCTTAATGCACGCTTGAAAAATAACTATAAAGGTTTCTAACGGAACCTTCCAGGCAGACACAGGATTGGTGGTGGTGTGTCAGTTAAAGGAAGTGGTTCAAGTTATCCTTCTTAATCTTCCCCATCGATTTGGACATGAATGACTTCTTCATGAAACTGTGATCTCTTATGCCAGTAATTTATCCGAATGTCCCATGGTCCATTTTTCCTCGATCGCCGATGGACAAGGACAACGTCATGTCTTTTAAACATGAAAGTATTACCTACCAAACTTTTCGCACTTGCATATTTATCCGGAAATGACCAAAAATGATACCGCTTTTATTGGTTTTATGCTGCCGAGAAACCTACCCATTATATTATAATTATTGTGAATGTGTTCATAAATGTGCGGGTATCACTGCGTATGTGATATGCGGCTTATGGCTGTGGTTCAAATTCATATTCCCTGACATCAAATATCCAATAATACCTGAAAAAATACAACGTCTCAACTTACTGACTTGGTCCTCGACTGATATTCTCATCCTTGTCTTGGGCTGGATCACAGAAACGGAAGAAGAAAATTGTTGATGATGATTTTGATCACCGCCTCTGAAGATAGTTACATTATTTGTGGTCCAAGTGAAGGCCACATGTACCCAAGAGGTTGACAGAACATTTTTCTTGATGATGTTGTTACTGCAAGAACAAGCGATGCTTTAATGATGAAGTGGCAATTCATTTTGAGAAGATTATTTAAATCAATCAATGATTAAAGAAGGTCAAGGTGAGACAGTTATTTTAGGACTTCTGTTTTCGTATTATGAAATATTGGTGAACGTTTTGTGGTGAGCACATCATTGACCTTTTTAGAATGATGGTGTTATGTATTGTTACCTGTCTTTTTAATGGGATAGGTATTGCAGGTCACCTCACTCAATCGTTATCTAAATATTGAGGTAAGGACTTGCAATGTCATACGAAAAGATCCTCCTCAGGTGAATGGACAGTAAAATCTATTGTCGATTCAATCAGTCTAAATGGCTATTCCGTGACATCAATTAAGTTATAATGACACATGTCGGAATGATATTTTAAATCATCTGACTTAATCATTCAACATGGGTGAACATACATTTATTTACGGGCAAGAACACCATTACAAGTGGACGAAGGACAACGCACATGTACGTGCAAATATAAGTAACACGACGTGACGTCGTTGTAAATGGGATTACCTTCCTGTTGATACTTCAATGTCAGATGATAATGACACGGAGAAGGAGACGGTGTCTCCCAGGAACATCTCAAATTTGATACGATTGCCCTTTGAATCGACCTTGACCCACATACCAAAGGTGAACATTCCAAGTTCAGATTTGCAGCCTGGGGACATGTTGACATTTACAGGGCCCTCCATACTGACATCGTAGGCTATAATATAGTACAGGAAATCCTTAAATACCGTAATTATGTTTGTACTGGTGATGTTTATCAGCACAATCGTTAAAACATGTTGTATACTCGACAACAGAAAACACATTTACATGCAATTCTATGAAAAGATATCACAATGTCAATAAATAGTAATGAAAGAGGCATAGATGTTCAAAACTATTAAAAGGTAAAAAGGAATTAAACTAAAAAAATGTAAAATAAATTTACGTTTCATCCAGGTAAATATTCACAAATGTTTTAAAATAACCATTCTTAGAAAAACAACTTCGAAATGACTATTCATTCTATTAATTTACTTTGCATCTGTACTTCAACATGACTATTCATTCTATTAATTACTTTGCATCTGTACTTCAACATGACTATTCATTCTATTAATTCACTTTGCGTCTGTACTTTAACGTGACTATTAAATCAATTAATTTATTTTGCATGTGTACTTCGAAATTACTATTCATTCTATTAATTTACTTTGCATCTGTACTTCAACTTGTCTATTCATTCTATTAATTTACTTTGCATCTGTACTTCAGCACGACTATTCATTCTATTAATCTACTTTGCATCTGTACTTCAACATGACTATTCATTCTATTAATTTACTTTGCATCTGTACTTTAACATGACTATTCATTCTATTAATTACGTTGCATCTGTACTTCAACATGACTATTCATTCTATTAATTTACTTTGCATCTGTGCTTCAACATGACTATATATTCTATTAATTCAATAAGCGTCTGTACTTCAACATAACCATTCATTCTATTAATTTACTTCGGATCTGTACTTTAACGTGACTATTCATTCTATTAATTTACTTTGCATCTGTACTTTAACATGACTATTCATTCTATTAATTACGTTGCATCTGTACTTCAACATGACTATTCATTCTATTAATTTACTTTGCATCTGTGCTTCAACATGACTATATATTCTATTAATTCAATAAGCGTCTGTACTTCAACATAACCATTCATTCTATTAATTTACTTCGGATCTGTACTTTAACGTGACTATTCATTCTATTAATTTACTTTGCGTCTGTACTTCAACATAACCATTCATTCTATTAATTTACTTTGGATCTGTACTGCAACATGACTATTCTTTCTATTAATTAACTTTGCATCTGTACTTCAACATGAATATTCATTCTATTAATTTACTTTGCATCTGTACTTCAACATAACTATTCATTCTATTATTTACGTATTATTTGCGTCTGTACTTCAACATAACCATTCATTCTATTAATTTACTTTGGATCTGTACTGCAACATGACTTTTCATTCTATTAATTACGTTGCATCTGTACTTCAACATGACTATTCATTCTATTAATTTACTTTGCATCTGTGCTTCAACATGACTATTTATTCTATTAATTCAATTAGCGTCTATACTTCAACATAACCATTCATTCTATTAATTTACTTCGGATCTGTACTTCAACATAACTATTCATTCTATTAATTTACTTTGCGTCTGTACTTCAACATAACCATTCATTCTATTAATTTACTTTGCATCTGTACTTCAACATAACCATTCATTCTATTAATTTACTTTGGATCTGTACTGCAACATGACTATTCTTTCTATTAATTAACTTTGCATCTGTACTTCAACATGAATATTCATTCTATTAATTTACTTTGCATCTGTACTTCAACATAACTATTCATTCTATTATTTACGTATTATTTGCGTCTGTACTTCAACATAACCATTCATTCTATTAATTTACTTTGGATCTGTACTGCAACATGACTTTTCATTCTATTAATTACGTTGCATCTGTACTTCAACATGACTATTCATTCTATTAATTTACTTTGCATCTGTGCTTCAACATGACTATTTATTCTATTAATTCAATTAGCGTCTATACTTCAACATAACCATTCATTCTATTAATTTACTTCGGATCTGTACTTCAACATAACTATTCATTCTATTAATTTACTTTGCGTCTGTACTTCAACATAACCATTCATTCTATTAATTTACTTTGCATCTGTACTTCAACATAACCATTCATTCTATTAATTTACTTTGGATCTGTACTGCAACATGACTATTCTTTCTATTAATTAACTTTGCATCTGTACTTCAACATGAATATTCATTCTATTAATTTACTTTGCATCTGTACTTCAACATAACTATTCATTCTATTATTTACGTATTATTTGCGTCTGTACTTCAACATAACCATTCATTCTATTAATTTACTTTGGATCTGTACTGCAACATGACTTTTCATTCTATTAATTACGTTGCATCTGTACTTCAACATGACTATTCATTCTATTAATTTACTTTGCATCTGTGCTTCAACATGACTATTTATTCTATTAATTCAATTAGCGTCTGTACTTCAACATAACCATTCATTCTATTAATTTACTTCGGATCTGTACTTCAACATAACTATTCATTCTATTAATTTACTTTGCATCTGTACTTCAACATAACCATTCATTCTATTAATTTACTTTGGATCTGTACTTCAACATGACTATTCATTCTATTAATTTACTTTGCATCTGTACTTCAACATGACTATTCATTCTATTAATTTACTTTGCATCTGTACTTCAACATGACTCTTCATTCTTTTAATTTACTTTGCATCTGAAATTCAACATTACTATTCATTTTACTAATTTACTTTGCATCTGAACTTCAACATGACTATGCATTATATTAATTCACATGATGTCTGAACTTAGGGGTCCCCACTCACATACCAATGATATACAATCCGTAACGATGTTAGTAGGACTCGTACAACACAAGTTCTCATCTAATTTCAAGTGTACGAATATGTCCATAAATTGATAAAAAAAAGACACAACTACATCATCAGATATAAGTACAGTGGTCCTTGAAAGAACTAAATAGCATAGTGAATCCGCTAGACACCGAAAATCTACTCGGATCTTTAGAGTTACAGGAAAGTGAACATACAAATACATTGCGATTGAGATGAGGACGCCACCTTCTCTGTGGTGAGTCCAATGGGACATTGTATACATGACTTCTGTTCATATTCATGTTGATAACGTCCTCGGCGGCAGGGTGAACATGGACTCAAACCATTAGCCGACAAATAGCCTGGCTTGCACATTTCTGAAATGTAAAGAGTTTGTCGACATCTCTTATCAAATACTGTTAGCATATCCGGATAGCAAAAGATTAAAGAACAGTGAATATGTTCCTGAGTGAACTTCCTCGGATTCCTGACATGAAATTTAGCATGTATGATTCTACTCATGCTTTGACACCCCATGGGGAGTCCGAGAAGAATTATAGGTCACCAGGATTCCAGTATTTTGTTATAAGAGTCAACTAAGTGAATCTGGTGATCTGGTGGGTATTTTGTCATTGGCCCCGATGACTTGGGTAGTTGATCTCAACTACTTTCTTTGGTCCATACTTACTTATTTACGAACTGACGTGATATAGCTGAAATATTGCTGACCGTGGCGAGATAAGCAAAACCTATTATAGCTGTAGATTATATGGGAATTATTTTCGTTTATTCTATTTAGCTTATCTGTCACATTCGAAAATCCAGCGTAGTACAGCTTTAAACTTGCCATCGATACACTGTTGTGGGTAAATGGACAATTCATCGATTAATTGTTACATCTCTCATCCTTTATAACCTCGCATCACAGACATACAGACTGAAACAATAATATCCGAAATGGGTCCGTTTCTTATATCTATGAAATGATAAATTTACCAAAGCATATTTTACAGAACTGTCAATTTTAGAGACTTAATGTCAGTCTATAGTCCTTACCTTTACACTGACTTGCGTTAAAGCTGCCCTGCTGGAGAGTGGTATAACCTGCCGGACACTTCTTGCACTCAGTTGACCCTGTGTTGTCCTGATAGTGACCAAGGGGACACAAGTCACAATTTTCCCGGCGATAATACATTCCTTTTGGACATGGAACTGAAATCAAATATGATATAATCAAGTATGTCCCATTATCGCCAATAATGATGTTTTGCACAAGTGTGATTGCTATAAAACAAGTGTCAGGCTTGTAAAATCTGAATGATACACACACCAATGCATTAATCTGTACATCACCCGCACTAGATAATCAGCTGTAAAGCCGAACAATATTCACAATCGTTTCAAATAACATGTGACGCCTTGGCACATCACCTAAACCAGAATACATCTTTTACATTAATAAATGTGTCTGCATTTTCTTTAAATTATATTTAAGGATGTGGATCGGGAAAACTATTATTGGTAACTGAGAAAAGCAAAATTTGGTCCATGTAGTTTGCCAATTCGCCCTTATTGTTTGACCTAAGGTACTACTCCATGTTTACAATCCAACATATGCTGGTCGCTGCTGATACAAAGCTAAGAATCCTTCACAGTAATATTCCAATGTCCAAAGCGAATTTGGGATTGGTATTCACAAACTCGGCCAGAGTGCAAATTACAGAATGTTGAGGACACATTCATTCCACATAGTTCCTAAACCGTTATCTTTCAGTACACCAGATATTACATCAGATTATAAAGTTATGAACCTATGAAAACAAACGGGTCGCGTTTACTACATCGGCCACCATTACTGCTTTCAGATCATAGAGACAGAACTCATCACCTGCGAATTCAAGGTTCATTACTTATCACTAAATACAATTTTAATTAAATAATTAATGGTCTGTCCCTTACTCTATAAAGCAAAACAACTTTCGATGAGAAACTCACCACAATTTGATCCAGAGGTTTTGCTTTTCACGTATCCATTCTGACAGAGTTCTTTTTCTGGCCGCTTGGTAAGTCCTGATGGGGAAATCATTTTTCCGTTTACCTGAAACTCACGGTCTTTATTCAATTCTTGGAAGACGTTATCAAGAGTGCTTCTGGCTTTGTTGACTTGTTCATCATTCGATAGGCCCGGTGTTGCCGCTACTTCAACGTCGATGTCAAAGACGATGTAGTTTGTGGTTGATCGTCGTGAACGCCGGATCCCTGCTGGAAGTGACCGTCTTTTCCTTGTTCCTCCACAATAAACCTGCACGTTGTTGACGTTACAGTGCGGTGCCGCTGTCCCAGAACATATGCGACTTGTAACGCTTTGTGCTTGGGCAATGAATCCCAGTTTAATGTCATCAATGGCACTGTTGCAAGGTCCATCATAAGTTAGGTATGCCGGTAGACGTCGTTTGTTGAACGGAAGTTTAGTAAACGCTGCAAATTGTAAACGTAGATGAAGTTGATTTTATAACAGTTATTAATATGTCAACAATATTCCTCTTTCAGAGACTTATTTTAGCGATCGGGTGATCAGGGAAAGGAATACTGATTAATCCGGGTGCACAAATCTGACTTATGTCCCCATTTCAGATGAAACAATAATTTGCCGAGTATAAACCTTGATTAATAATGTATTATTATCTGCTTGGATAGATATTGTTTCCTTTTGTATGATATGGATTCTTCAAGACGGACACTCGCACACAAGCGAAATATCACAAAGTCACGTGTTCATTCTGATGACATTTACCAATTCAGCAAATTGTAATGATGGGCTTGATAAAAATGAGATGTGCATGGAATAAAGCACTTTATGATAACATTTGAATGCTGTGTTTTAAAAGAATTGGTGATGCGAAAATAATGTCCCCCTACCGTCATACCTTTTCCACTAATCCTGTTCAAATTCTCCCCCTTTCTCCTCACAATGCAATAATGCACACAGACCCTCACCCAAACACACACGAACATACGCGCACAACAAACACCCACGTACACCACAACCTCACCTTACACATCCGCGAGCATACACAAACACGAACTCTCCCAATTCCACTTACATGTACATTCGTGTGGTAGACGGTAGACACCTGGATGCCACGTTGGAGGATTTTGAGCGACACCATAACATCTGAATTCATAATCGGTTCGGTCTGGAATGTCGTACTTGGCGTTACAGTGTACGTTGCAGAGCCGCTGTCCAGTCCAGAACCCACAGGAAATAGCGCCGTTCTTTGGCGCCGTAAGGTTCTTACACATATCCACTGCAGAACGTACAACACATGGTACATGTACATCGATGTTTGAACATGTGACTGCTCTGGCTCATAGGCGTTACAAGGTACAAATAATGAACAATACCCGGGAATCTGAAAGCCCTTAAAGATTCAAGACGTTGTATGTATGCTGACGCTACAACGTCGACAGAACCCGGAAGACGACGAAATCTTGGGATTTCCTGATTGACCATTTTGATTTAGAGATAATCTGATGAAAATAGTTTCCATAATTTGGTTAAATGTTTGATAAACCTATGCTCTATCTTACATATCCATGTTATATATGGCCGTTGTAGCAGTGACGCTGACATTGAGGACTAAAAAATCATTAGTAGTACAGGGGCCAGCGTAAATTACTAAATTATATCTAACGTACTTGTTTTACCTCCGTAAGGCATTCAGCATAGGCACACGTCAAGAGTTGCAACCCTTTTCATTACTAATACCTTTATGTACACTTCATTCAGGCATTGATGATACCAATTAAGTTCATTTAGTTTTAAATGGGGAACTGATATAGAAGAAATATTTCTTTATATTTTATTTTCGGAGACGTTTTATCTCTTGTTTAAAAAGCAGTTGATGCCGTTTTTTATGAAAGTATCTATTTTATTGGAGAGATCCTCTCTCGTGCTGGTGAAGAAAAGACGAAACTAGTTCATATTGAAAAGAATACCCATCAATGGTTTTACTGGATGTCAGTTATTACAACAGAAAGCTGTACATGCCTCAACACATTCAGAGGCGATAACGATCTGTGGTCGTTAAGGGAATATACAAGAACTAGAAATCTTTACAGAACCATGTGCCAGGATAAGAAACCTATATTTCTTGAATGACAAAAGCAATATTTGGAAGATGACTTGAAGTCGTCGGAACGTTAAATCTACTTTATGAGTACATAAATGATATGGAAATTGATAAATGGTATGATGATTTCAAAAATATGCTCAGTGGTAAGAATGCTACAATGATACTAACTGTGAAAAATGTGAGATTGTCTTAACTTCTACAATTCTTCATACGTCAGTTGCAAGAGAGGAAATTCAAACTGATATCTTCGATTTGAAAAAGAGCAAGAGTCCTGCAGCTGGCATTGATGATTCATTTCCAGAGTTTTTTTAATATTCTGGTAATATTCCAGTCCTTTACCATAAATTACTTTTTTATAGAACAGTCTTATTTCCAAAAAGAGTGGACTACAGGTGTGACTATACTACTACAGAAATCGGGATCATGTATTGATGCAAACAATTATTGAGGAATTCCCTGTTTTTAGAAAAATATGTGTTTCTATGATCAATAATAGGCTCACCTATTGGTAAGATTCACAGGATAAAATTTCTGAAGAACAAACAGGTTGTAGGCCATGGATTATAATTTTATACTTAATGCGAGGTTTAAGGTTTGCAGAATTTCATAGATAAACTGGAGCTGTAAACTCCAAGTAAACACTTAAAACATTGAAAAATCGAAAGCGTTGGTTTTAAAAAGGGAAATAAACTATCAAGGAGGGGGAAATGGTTCTTAAACTCAAAGACCGTTACAAATTGCCCCTTCTTATAAATACCTGGGGGATACTTTCTCACGCAGATTATCATGGAATTGTCACACCATTGCAGAAATCCATGAAAAAAGATACTGATGGATATCTTACATAGATTAAAAACGTTTACTCATCTTTCATATAAAACCGCGTTTCAAAAGGCCGTAAAAATTACCCCTCTTCATTTATATGGTGCAGATGTCTGTTGTCACAATGATTTGATTGTTTTTTGTTTTACGCCGCACTCAGCAATATTCCAGCTGGTCTGTGGTCTGGACCAGACAATCTAGTGATTGATAGCATGAACATCGATCCACGCGATTGGGATCAATGACATGCATCAACCATGTCAGCGAGCCTGACCACTCCATTCCGTAAGTCGCCTCTTACGACAAGCATGGGTTCCTGAAAACCTATTCTACCCCGGATCTTCACGGGTCTGACATAATGAGTACAGAGCTATCGATCTGCTCCATCTTTATGCGTGTAAAAGATTACTTGTGTGTTAAAACAGTGTACATCGCGTTTTATGGTATATGGTGAGTGTGGACGTTTACCACTTCATTTACTCTTCAAAAAAAGAAACTTGACAATGACTTTCAAAATGTAATACAATGCGATTGTTTCAAAATAGGACACAGAAACCATAATTGAAACACTGTTTGAAGATCAATGTACACAATGTTCAAAACATTAATCGTGTCACCTAGACAGACACACGTACACGATACAGTTAATGTCACAGGGGTACAGAAAATGCCAGTATCGGTTGTGCCCACCACGTGCATCAATCACCGCTTGACACCGACGACCAATAGATGCAATCAAGTTGTCAATAACACGCTGTTGGATGTGCTGCCATTCATGCTGAAGTGCATCAAGAAGCGCCGGAAGTGTTTGGGGCGGTGGATTCCTTCTGCGAACGCGTCGATCCAACTCGTCCCACAGATGCTCAATCAGGGACAAATCTGGTGACCGGGCTGGCCAAGGTAATGTCTGGATGTTGTTGTGCTGTAAGAAGTCCTGACAAACACGTGCAATACGCGGTCGAGCGTTGTCCGCCATGAACGTTGACGTGAGGAAGAACGTAAGGCTGTAGGATCAAGTCACTGTAAAGCACACCTGTCAATGCACCTGCCACATGCACGAGAGGCGTCCTACCACCGTGATGAATTCCGGCCCATACAATGACACTCCCGCCGCCAAATGGGACAACCTGCTGCACACAGTTGGGGGCGTTACGTTCACCCCGACGTCTGTAGACACGTGCGCGCCCATCAGCACGTGTGAGTAGGAAACGGGACTCGTCAGTAAACAGTACATTTCTCCACCTTGCACGTGTCCATCCAACCCTCTGTTGGCACCAAAGCAGACGGTCCGCCAGATGACGTGGGGTCAATACATGACGTCGAACAGGTCTTCGTGCAAAAAGTCCAGCCTCCCTCAGTCTGTTGCGTACCGTTTGATCTGATATTCTGCGTACCTGTGTGGTTGTAGACGTGGCTGTGGTAGTGCGGTCTCGGAGGTGTCGCAGCCGGATGTATCGATCTTGTGCTTGGGTTGTCACCCTTGGTCTTCCTGACCTTGGTCTGTCGTCAACTCTGTTGGTGTTGTTGTATCGGGTCCACAGTGCGGAGATTGTCTGTCTGGATACGCCAAAGTGCCTGGCCACTTCTTGCTGAGTTGCTCCAGTTTGTAATCTCCCAATGGCGTTGTTCCGTTGAGCTGCATTCAGTCTTGGCATTCTGTCACCGCCTCTTCTGCCGTTATAAGGACTGTATGAACAGCCGTTGATGTGGATTTTTATACCCATTCAGCAGGGGGGCCTGCATGCCTAAATGCAGGATCCTGTGCTCCACGTTTTTTACAGGCGGTTGCGTTTGGATGAAGCTGTAAAGTTGATCCCCAAACGCTACGTTTATGTGCTTTGCATGTGTTTTCGCGAATTATAGACACATCATCTTTCTGTTTGACTTATTTGGTTCTCATTTAATGTAATAATTTTAGATATTTGGCAAAAAGTGGTTTTACATCTATGTCAAGTTTCTTTTTTTGAAGAGTATATATTGTAATATACTAGAATTCCTAAGTATTGATTCAAGATTCTTGAAACCCCTATTGATAGATTACCAAGAAAATGCTATCATATGATGTACTTATATGAGAAGATGGAATTCGTAATTGAATGTATGATGTAAAATCCTCATTAAATGAATGTGGCTGTGGATATGTTTGGCATAATCAATGTGTACCCAATAATCCAGATTCGTTCTTATTATCTTATTATGGTCACTACACGTTTCAGAAAATGTTCAGAAAAATGTAATTATTACAAGCCTTAAGAAAAAACTTATTTCCCGAGAATACTATTTGTTTTATATAAATCTTAAAAGATTTAGAATAGCCTTAGCATAATTTAGATTGAAGTTGGCAGACATAGAAAGCAAGAGAATGGAGAATTTATGAGCAATGTGATTTAAATGTGACGGAAGACGAGTTTCATTTTCTGTTAGTTTGTCAAAAATACGACTATCTAAGAAGTAGAATACATAGAAGTGCCATTTTACACCGCACTCATGTCAAAACTGATATTTTTACCCTTAACAAACGAACAATGTTTATTTATCATGCTATGTTAATTAGAAGATGAACTTCTTTCGAAACTAGAATTTATAAAGGGCCTGCAGTCTTAAAGTGTGGATAAAAACAACTAACATTACAGTTCACAAGAAATACCTAAATACATTTATGGCTTCCAGCAATTGTTACCTTGGCAATATGGTTTTATCAACGGTGGAGATTCCTTCTGCCCCCAGTCCCAGAATGTAGTAGCAGGGTTACTTCCTGTGTCCATGCTGCAGGTGATGTATTTCCTCCCTCTCAGTGGGAGCGCCAGGTCACACTCAACTCGGCATTGTTTGCCAACATCAAATGGAGGAAAACAGTTGGGAGTGTCAATGTATTCTCCATTCAAGGTCGGAGGGTCACACTCAACCCCTGCAAATGAGATGTTTCAATAAAATTCATCATAACATGTAAATTGTAGACCAATTATCCATTTATCATTAAAAAGTATAATATATATTGTAATTATGAATATAATATTATGTACCCATATTCATATATAATAATGACAAATTTAGCAATTGATTCGCCGCTCATTATTGTTGTTGTTTATTCCGTAATGAGGCCACCGGCCCATTATACAAGTATATACTCACACACACACACACACACACACACACACACACACACACACACACACACACACACACACACACACACACACACAGAAATGTCAGAAATGGTATTCTGATTTTTACTATTAGTACTATGCAAAATGGAAAGAATCTTAAATTTCTGTTAATATTGTACCTATTTCTATCATTAAAGTATGACAAGAGCATCTAAATTTAGCTAAAGTTTTAAGATATATCATATTATGAATGCAAAAAATATTATCTTCCGAACCATATTCTATTTTAACATGTCTGTTAAAGTTTAACTTTGGAGAAGCTGCGATATTATCGTTCCATATCTATACATCAGTATCTTTACAGCGTTTACAAACCGGACGATAAATAAATCAACAAAGCCAACCCCTTGATGAAGCCGAACTTCTCCAAAAGCATACTTACGAGTATATAACAGCTTTTTAACATCATAAGCACCGCATTTGTTCTCCATTTCGGCCTTACTGAACACGGTAGTGGTACGCATGCTTAAGAATAATATTTGATTTTTGGCTCAGCAATCGCAACCAATAAGTGATTATTCTCTTATATTGTAAAACCTTCACAGAAATATCCCAACCTCCCCTCTCGCAGGTTTATTCGGGGTTTGACGTTTTAGACCCAAAACTAATTTACAAAACATGTCAAGAATTGTATCAACATCTGGGATGGGTGGAAACCCCATACCCCAGATCCATATAATAAATATGGCATGATTTTAATATCAAAGATATGAAGCTGTTAACTTATAGGAAGTTTTTGTTGACCTACTGGTGTGAAATAAAACATGACAGTATCGTCAGCAAACAGCCATATTAACAACTCCAATTGGTCCATGATAACACCTCTTTTTCCATCAAAACTCAAAACGTCTACAATATCATTGATAAAAAAAGAAAACAAAAAAGGTAACATTTGACATCCCTGACTCGATCCATTTTTACATAAAACAAAGTCTGTATAACCAGCATCCATTGAAATACAAGCTTTAACGTGTTCGTACATATTCTTTTAAATAATCTATACAATCTACCTTTAACCCCACCATGCCAAAGTTTATACAATGAACCAGTTAACAGAGTCAAATGCAGCCTTAAAATCTATAAATGCACAATAGAAACGACCACGAATCTGGGACAAATACTTTTGGTATAAATATATTATCGGATGTCTGAAATCCTTTCCGAAAACTCGCCTGTTCCTTTATTATTTTATCCTCAATATCAGCCAACAATGTTAATCGATAGCAGATAAGTTTTCCACATATTTTCCCTGCAACTTCCAGTAATGGGATAGGTCTAGGCGCCCTTTCTTATAAAAAGGCAAGACAACACAACGTGTCCACTGGTCGGAATAAATTCCTGTCCGCAGGACAACATTACATAATTTTAATAACATTTCAATACAGGGTATACTATTGAAAAATTCAATGGGCAAAGCACAATACCCAGGTGCTTTTCCAGATGTCATATCATGGATGGCTTCCAAGGGTTCAGATTCAGTTATATCAGAATTCATAAATGAATATATCTACCGAATTATTAATAAGTTCCTCGTATGCATAGATGCATATAAAACTAATGTGTTACAAGTATTATTGTCTATATTATGATAGTTTTAATATGTATTTAGTGATACAATAAAACAGCATGTACCAAATATAACATACTTTCAACAACAACGACGAAGATGCACTGCGTTGCCTTGTTGCCAGCTGCATCCTTGGCATCAAACCGCACTATATGTGTTCCAACTGGGAAGCTGCCGCCGATGCTTGTCACCGCGTGGGCAGACGTTGGTGTCATGGTCACCTGTTGACCAGAGTTGTCCGATACCGTTATTTTCGGCCATATCACCCCTGTGAGAGTACTGGAAGGGTCAAATGTCTGGTGTATCTTCTGTGATGGACAACTGAGGAAAACCGGGGGCTCCACATCTACAATAGAACGTTCACAGGTGAAAGTAAGCATGTGAAGTAAGATACCATACGTAAATATTTTCTTTTCCTTGGCTAGCTTCTCATGGGACTCTACAGTTGCTTTGTTGCCAGCTGCATGTTGGTTGTGTGCATATGACAAAAGAAAATGTACGTAACTCTCTTCCTCAACTAGATGCTCATCGGTAGATCGCACTGACAGACTCTACAATTGCTTTGTTGCCAGCTACTTGCTCTATAGTGTGCATATCATTGACCTACAATTACCGATTCCTATTCTGCGTTTTATCAGCATTCATGTTATGTCATATTAAAACACATTTGTTCTTTGATCCAATAAAGCCACATGGCAAGGACAGCCAGTTATCTTTTGCGCCGTAATTTGTGAATAGAATTGCATCCCTCAGTCGACAGAAATCTGAGCGTTGATCCGAATACATTCTTCATCCTGAGCATGATCTTTGTATTGTCAGCACCATACCCATGCTCGTGGGTTTCAAGAACGTGGAAAACGTCTGAGACCTGCATCACATTACACATTGGGTTGGTGACTGAAGTACTGTTACATTATGCACAGCGATATGACAGAAATACTTTTCAATTGATACACACAATATAACTAAAGTACAGTTTAGTTAAAGTTAAAGTTGCTGGGACTGCAAAGTTGCGCAAGTCTAGGCGCCTTTTGAACCCCCATGTGCTGACCCGTTCGATTACAGTTATGCTCGACCCGTGAAGATCCGGGGGTAGAATAGGTCTTCAGCAACCCATGCTTGCCGTGAAAGGCGACTATGCTTGTCGTAAGAGGCGACTAACGGGATCGGGTGGTCAGGTTTGCTGACTTGGTTGATGCATGTCCCGATTGCGTCGATCGATATTCATGATGTCAATCACTGGATTGTCTGGTCCAAACTCGATTATTTACAGACCGCCGTCATATAGCTGGAATATTGCTGTGTGCGGCGTTAAACATCAAACAAACAAACAAATAACGCCATATGATTTATTGTGTGTATGGATAAGTCTACATTGTTAACACATAAAGGTGAATTCAATACTAAATGAGAGGGTATTATATGTCATGCCGCATGACAAACTTTGGTAGGACCATCCTATGGAGGTTGTAGATGCGTGTTACGACAATTTCATACGGATGAAAGATTTGATATTGTTGTCTAATGTAATTACACCAACTAAATACCTGCGCATTCGAAATCAGCTGTGGACCAGCCTTGTTCACCGCACTTAGCGACTCGTGCTTTTGTTGCAGCGTATCCTCTGTTTCGGTCACATTTCAGCTGGCACACACTCCCATAAAACCATTCATTGTCACACTCAAACTTGGCTGCATTCCTTGGAGGAATCAAAGCACTGCACGATTTTACTGAAAGCAGACATGTGACATATGTACATTCCACATATGGCGTAAGACCTGGTTATTCGAAAGAAATCGTTACCTTTTTTTGTCTGGCACACACAATACAAGAGATAAAAAAACAACAACTGAGTGGAGTTTCTTTTAAATTTCTAGGTTTTGACCGAAAATCCGGCAAATGTGAAGTTTATTTTAATCAACGTCCTAGCGGTTCTTGTTAAAAAGCATAGTCTTAAAGAAGGTGGTGGAAAGGCGGTCTGACCACAACACTTCAGAAAAATGAATCAGACCAGTTTTCCCATTAATGCACTCAAGTATGCGTTAAGTACACATAAAGTACAGGAATGTTCCTATTGTGTGCTTTCAGCGCTAACATAAATATCTACCCAGCTAATGACTGTTCCAATATCATGTGGTCCAGGCACATTTCCCAACATCACCTTACAGGTATTCGGTTTATTCTTCTTAAATATACAAGAGTCATCAGAAGATGACAAATCTCCCCTACCCCCACAAATTCGAAAGAACAATTCATCTGATTGTTACAGCAAGTCATACAAGAGTGATCTGACTAACTTGTTGCGAGTATTTTCTATCTAATCCGCATATACGAGTAGTTATTCAGCTATTCAGAGGTAGTGAAGGTCATACAGTTGATAAATGGCTTATGCTGTAATCTGTTGCATTTCAAAACGTAGTTACCAATAGTTACTGAAGCTCACCTTTAACATTAAACTTATGGAAAAATTTTACATCGCAGCTTAATAGAAATATAGATATACATGTTAACACAAAACATTTCCCTTCTGTTACTTTGGGTACCTCCACTGGTGAATAGCTATCCAGAAACAGCTGCGACCAGTTAGACCAGAGTCAAACTTGTTACCATGGAAACGGAACAAATATATATTGTAAAGAATCCCTAAATAGCAAAGAGACAAAACTTGACAACCTTATCTTAGTGTGTGCAAATCTTCATGAAAGAATGGTATTGCCTATTGTTTTGGAGATATGATACGGACATATACGAGTGAGATGTGTGAAACGTTTATCGGGGGAGCGTCATTTACATGATATATTGGTCCATTGTCACAAATAAGTCCGGAGTAGACGGATTTTACTTAGAAAACTGGAACCGTAAATGTGGCCCGGCATTGAAGAGATCCGTATCAGAGAGATCATTACTTACATTTAGTACTAACTACTAAATGACTTTATCGCGCGTATCCAAACCATGGGCTAATTACGTCTGTAACCCAATCACCCCCCGTAACTCAATCACCCCGGGCCACCACTCGGCACCGTGCCCGGGGAATAATCCCGCGTAGCATCATCCCGCCTTTGTTAGTCCGTCATTCGCGAACAGCCCTTCCCCAAGTACACACGTGTGTCACTGTATCTAATCGCTTTTGCTTTGAATACCACCTAGTTCAGCACTCGCCATATCGCATTTATTCCGTTCTACTCCCGAACTTCACCCTCGGGACAATTTTACGCTTGTGGAATACCAACTCACCACCTCGACCTTCGTGATGCCTCCCAAGAGAAGAGCACCCGTCAACCACAATCTTGTGAGGGGAGCCAAGCAGGCCAGGACAACCAGAAGACAAACCCCGGGAGTGCACATTATGCAGGAGGCAACAGCTGATGGTGAGTCTGCCAATTACGGATATATCGAAGGGGGCAACAGAATTAACGTACAATCGGCGCAGCTGGTAAATGCCGCGCAGGCTGCCAACTCGGCTACCCAGGTAAACGAGCAACTGGAAAAAATACTCCAGTTGCAGGAACATTCAGCGCCCGGCCCGGTTAGCGCAAACCATCAGGTAAGGCTTGGTTTTAGTTCTCCCGCCATTTCGCCCAACATAGGGAGAATCCACGATGCTTACAACGAGGTATTCATTTTCATCGTAGTGTCATAGCGACCGAATTTGGACAAAGACTAATTACCCTGCAGCCATGATGTGTATATGTCTAGAATCTAGAAATGGATTAGTAAACAATCGAAGCGCTTATGTTAATACCACTTCATTACCCATAAGATACGATGCAATAAATACATCAGCGAACGTTAGATTAACAAATGAATTGCACATGCCAAGCTAGATGTGTGTATATGAGAAACATATTTGCAGTTTATGTTAAACAATTCATTTAATTGAACATCTATCAGTTATTAATACGAAGTTTTGAATAGAAGCTAATGTTTGGATTTGCTCTTCTTTACTCAAATGCGAATTTCTGCATAGCACTGTGTGTAAATAATAACCTTGTTGGTAAAAATACATTTCATTTCGAAGAACTTAGTAGTTTGTACACACAAAAGTGTAAAGCATGCTCGGTATGATATCCACAGGAACAGGTTTTAGTATGCAATATGTCTATCATACTGATCTGCGTTAAGATCGCTGCAGCCAAGCCTGATGCGAATCTGAATAATTTGACATGCTAATTACCATTGTTAATCCAGAAGTATTGTACATTGACTGTCTGCCATCCTGAACGAGCTGTGCAACTTTGACATTGTTTATTTCCATAAATAACCACTCACAGTGGTACATGGACATAAATACAAGAAATAGATAACGGAGGCATTCACCAAATTACATCCGTCGAATATGTTAGCGATCGTACATCTACATCAGTATGTCCTTACCTGAGAGTTGTGCGTCGGGGTGCATGGCAGTATAGAATGGCAGTCGTTAGTTAGTTACTTGAATGGCAGTCCGCGGGTCCTGTCGCTATATACTTGTCCGACATGAAATGACAGGTTTTAGGGTTTGTGATTTAGTTAGTGTGGGTGATTTTAAGAGTGTTTGTTGAATGGGTGATAATTACTGCTGACGCTATAGATGTAAACATTCATATAATGATGGCAGCAAAGGACAGCCGAAGAGGCAATGGCGTTGCCACCACGAGACATGTGTATGCCTTTTACGAGACGGCTAAGGGTATAATTCACTATGTCTATAAATGTTATGTAATCAGTCCTGTAGCGAATCCCTTTCTGAGCAACAGACCGTGTCATTGCATGATTTATTGTGGGTACAATGGAATGGGACTGTAGGCACGTGTAGCTCTTAATCCCATATGAAAACACCAACTTTAGATTCGCGTGGTATCTCTGGTACCACATTCTTTTCTGTAACGCAGATGGCCTAGGTTATGATGATAGTTCGGATAACATTCGTAGAAAATATAGACTGAATGACACGACAGAGTGAGAGCCGTTTAACGCCGCTTTAAACAGCATGCCGGTTAGCGAGGCCGACGGTGACGCGGCTTGGCCAGCCAATCACATCGCAGGATACGGGGATTCCCTTTCCTTCCGTGCGGACGGAAAAGACGCGCACGTCAAACAAACGGTGAGGGAAAAAATCTGGCGTGGCGAGTATGTCGACCTCGGCACAATCCTACCAGACACCGAGGGAAGTCACGAGGACGGTACGATTACCATGGCGTACGACTCCTCAGGTTAGGTAATTTTTAAACCAATAAAGCAGCAACCAAAGCGCCTGTCCCTGGCAAGATGGACTTCAGCTTTCCACATTTTCATGTGTATATATGTTAGTAGGCACTCCGAGGTCCGCACAACCCAGGGGTTGCTGTCCTACATGGAAACCATAAGAACGGCGGCACTTCGATTCGGGGGGATGCCTGGTCAACCTACGACCAACAATTCCGACACAGAATGTCAAGGGACCCCTCACGACGCTGGGACAACATCGACGGGGAGTTGTGGCTGAAGTACATGGTAACACAGCCGGTACTACAACCACAATCAGGCGGACGGGGCGCAATGACACGCGTACAGGGGGACATCGCCAGTCAGGTATGCTGGGATTTCAATAAATTTGGCTGTAGCAGGGTCAACTGTAAGTACACTCACAAATGCGGTAAGTGTGGCAAACATTCCCATAGCTCTAGGACCTGCTTTCGAGGGAATATGGTCCAACCGACCCCATACAAGCCCAATCAGCCTTTTGCCTAACAGAAAACCAGCCGTCAAGGCAGGTAAATTCAATGGCCCCTTCCCCCGCGGATCTCAATGAAATGGCACCCTGGTTACGCCAATATGCTAGGGTCAATTACAGAGATGCAAACTATTTATGGGTAGGTTTTAGCTCTGGCTTTAAGCTCGAGATCCAGGGTCGCCTGGCACGAAACGTACTGCGCACGACAAGACGGAGGGCCCCACAACCAAACTGACATTCCTAGGGCTGGAAATCGACACCATTGCAACGCAGATCAGAATCCCAGAGTCCAAGATCAAGGAGGCAACAAGGGAAATCCAAGACATTCTGTCAACAGGTAACATCAAGGTCACAAAAAGGGCCCTTCAGTCCCTCATAGGCAAGCTTAACTTTATGTGCAGGGCTATACAAATGGCAAGGGCATTCAGCCGCAGGCTAACCGATCTGCTTAGCAAAGGTAAGCAACCATTTCACCACATTAGGATTACCAGCTGGGTCAAGGAAGACCTACAAATATGGTTAACATTTCTTACGAGTTATAAAGGCATTTCAGTGTTTCAGGACCAACTATGGGTGGACAGCGATTTCCTCCAGCTGTTTTCAGACGCAGCGGGTGGCGCCAGCTTCGGGGCCTACATGCAGGGCAAATGGTTTAACAGCGCATGGCCACCCCAGTGGGTGACGGATGGAACTACACGGGACTTGACGCTACCTTGACATGGTGGCATCAATCCTTCGGATACAACCCCAGCTTCCTGACACCAAGATCATCGTATCCTCAATGCTGCACAGGCGCCACTGGCACGATGCCAGGGACCCACTAAAGATCGAGGGGATGCGGAAGAATATCAACCGTCGACTGGCCAACCGAGTCAAAGAGCTCGGCGGTACAATGGCGCCACATCCCCAGATCCTGGCATCAGACAAGACATGGTACGCCTTGGAGGGCGTCCACCTCAGTGACAAAGGACTGTGTGTGTTTACGGACAATTTATTTCATGCCCTGGCGTTTGTTATCTCCACAGGTTTGTGTTTCCTTTCAGTACATAGGCAAGCAGGGCAACAATGCTATCTCCGCGTATCGCGTGGCCGTGGGTGTGGGGTAGCACTCTGGTGCTTTGTGGCGGGGTTCTTGTGGGCTACACTGCTAGTAACAAATTAACTTGCTTCCAAATTAATACTCGTGCTTAAGGCTACCTGCTTTTCAGCGGGAACCTTTCCGGGGTTACCTGCTTCTCAGTGGGAACCTTATCTTTCCCGACTTTTCAGCCGGGGAATCGTAAAATAACATACGTTGGGGCAAACAATTGCCACGTATATGGGCCCGGCGGCGGAAGTCGTCTTGTCAAGCGGTAGCTGACAGTTGGGTCCGCGGCGTGGGAGCCGCACAATGGTTTTGCTAATGGGGCCGGGCAGTGGGATCTGCTTTGGCCGGCTACCTGGGGCCGGGCAGCGGTAGTCTGACTTAGGCCAGCAGCGTGGAGCTGCTTTTGGCAGCGTGGGAGTTGCCAAGCAATGGTAGCGGTTAAATATGCTACCGTGGGGGCCGGACAGCGGAAGCAGTCTCAGGCCAGCAGCGCTAGCTGCAATCGCCGTTGGCCACGCGCGTGGCCATGGCAACGGTAGCATTTTGGTATACACAATTAGCAGCTAAGTAGCCCACTAGTACCTGCACACCCTCGGCCATTTAACCCAATCTCATCTTCTGTCTTTATTTTAGGCACGGGCATCCACGGCTCGGTGGCCCGTGCCTCTCCTTGGCATATCGCGGGATAAATTGTATTTATTACAAACCTCTACAGGTCGGAGGCGGTGTCGACCATCCGCCGTTGATCTTGCAAGTAGTTTGTCCTGATCCAACCAGATTATAGCCTTTGTCACAGGAATACTTGCATGTGTCTCCGAACTTCCGCCCCTGAAGACAGTTCACCTTCCCATTCTTTGGATGAGCCAAAATGGAGCACCAGCGAACTAATGTGAGACAAAATGACAATGTATTTGTCTTCGATATCATGCAAACATTCCACCATGTTGTATGTCTTTTAAACGCCTTCATGTTTGTAATCTTAAATTTCAGGGATAAATATTTTGAAAACATACAAGAAATAGCATGCGAAAACATAACATGGAATTTTAGACACGAGACGCAAGTATAGTGACGGTGTTTGCATGCTTAAGCATAAATGTCTATTGACTATAATGCGATCATGATGTGATTTGAAAATGAACAATTAATAATGAGCATACATCATATAAGTAAATTTGTAATGTTGATAAATACAGGATACTATCTCAGTCGAAGTTCTAGGTAACTTCATCTGCGCGGGGAATCCGGGTTAGAATGTAGGTCCCCAGTAACCTATGCTTGTTGTAAGAGGCGATTAAATCGATCGGGTGGTCAGGACACGGTGACTTTTGATTACATGTAATCGAATCCCAATTTCGTGGATCGATGCTCATGATGTAAATCACTAGATTTTCTGGTCGTGACTCGATTATTTACAGTCATATAGCTGAATAAGTGTTGAGTGCCACGTTAAACAAGCCAAATATTTGTGTTGCACTAAAGAAGGCAGGGAGGCACCGGTGGTTCAGTCGTCTGAGGTGCGGTCATTCGCTGTGCAGAAATGGAGGCTACTGGCACACCATATACAGGGACGTATGCAATTGCGGCGTCCAGGAGTCTTACAGCAATATCGCGGCCAACAGCATTGGGCTTCACACATTGTTCCCATGTCAGGAACCGAACCTGGGCCAGAGCTGTGGCGAGGATATGCTCTTACTTAAGGCTACTCTACAGCTGTTTTGGTTGTCTCCACTTTGAAAATGTGTTAGTCATAATACCACTGGATCGTTGACTTGGTTTAAACCCTCGTGAAGGGCATGGGACCGACAAACTAAATGTCGGAATTGAGGCAATAGTGTTGTTGAACCCAAGATGAACGGACCCTGTCACGATTTTAACCACCAGACAACCCAACTGCCCCTGGTAGACAAATAAAATGTGTTGATAGTAAATATACTTCACGATGTACACATTGTTATATGAGGGGGAATGAAACAAAGGACCTACCGTTCACCGTAAAACATCTGTCGCCGCAATATGACGAGAGACCAGTGCAAGCGTTGGAGGTTCTATATTGTATGCAGTGTCTCCCCTCAGCGAATGCTGAACCAGGTGGAGAACCCTTGATCAAGGTCACCTTGTAACAATTACTGAAAAAACGGTACGATATTCGTGTCATTAACAAAGGAGGATATATCCTGTGTGTATGACGTCTAGATGTTGCAATTCAGTGTCAATGTGGCTAATGTACATTTACGAAGGTAAATAAAAAAAGGTAAACCGAGGGAAAATCAAAACGTTCGTGGCCTCGTGGATATTGCTTTGGATAATGCCACGTTTTACCAGATGTATGAAGAATATCATCCCTTTGAAGACATAACACGTAGTTTATGATTATCTCTTTTTGATCAGTGAACTGAAGAGATGTCAGGCGAGAAACGAGCTGTGATTAAGTACAACATATCAAGGAAATACACGAAAATATGGAAAGGACGTTTGGGGATGACTGCCAATATATTCAACTGTTACGAAAACGACTGCTGGAATATAAATGAGGCAGTGACGGCGCTAGACCTGGGCCCACTTGCATAAAGCGATCTTTGCTACGACTATTGTAAGCCTATGTTAAAGAATGGGAGTTACGATCATCTTAGCGCTAAGATCGCTTTGTGCAAGTGGGCCCTGGTCGTCTGTAACTGAAACTGTACACATGGTTATAGGTAACCGGTGTGTTACAATTCAGCATATGCCACTATTCGGATTAGTTTTGGGTCAAGACCTTAACTGACGAACTCGACATGAGCAAGTGAAAGAAAATTACATTGAAAATATTAGGGTTTCTTAAGATCGATTTTATGTGAGGCTACGACCTTTCCTATCTAAGATAGTTCTGCCCTTCCAAATCAGCAGTTGAGAGATTAAGATTAACACACTGTATTTTCAATTTAGAACTTGGTTACCTGAAGATTTAACAGCTATCAATTGACTTTTGAACTAAACATGACAACATTAAACGTGAACTGTTAGCAAAGATATTGATTGAATTGTTTGATTGTGTTGCTTATGAAACATTGATAAAAACTTTTCAACAACGTATGGCGCTTTATATGCTTGGGCAGTGTGCTTCACGTTATTACATTTTACTTGCATATATGACAGGTATTGAAAGTGTGCAACACAGCTGCCTCGTTGGCATACATCAAGTCGGCACCTCTAAAGAAAATAAAGTAAACCTTGTAATATTCTACACAACACTTCTTTATATTGATGTCACATCGCTCATTGTGACACAACATTATGTCAAATATATTGCAAAAAATACTTGTGATATCATAGTAACCGAAATTGTACATGTATGACCTACAGTAGTACATACTCTAATTTAATGTCCAAATGCTTATCGACAATGAATTGGAAAGGAGTACTTTTCTGTACTGGCTCGGTGACTTGATTGATTTCGAGTCATCGAGGATCGTTGCTCTCAATATCGATCACTAGATTGTCTGGTCCAGAATATTGTTGAGTACGACATTTAACGACAAACAAACAGTGGAATTGTACAAAAGTCTATGAAACAAACTGGCATTAGTCTGGACAAGTATAACCGACCCACCCACCTACACCCAAACCCAGCTATTCCTTGAAATCGCCTATATTAGTCCATTCTACATATGTATCAATAAATCAGTACCATATACATCCATACATCCGTACTATATCAATATTGGCATCAGTTCTATATAATTCCATACATCCGTACTATATCAATCCACACATCAGTAGCATATACATCCATACATCCGTACTATATCAATATTGGCATCAGTTCTATATAATTCCATACATCAGTACTATATCAATCCTCACATCAGTAACATGAATCTACACATCAGTACTATATCAATACTCACATCGGTACTTCATCATCGGTACACATCAGTTCTATATAATTCCATACATCCGTACAATATCAATCCACACGTCGGTACCATATACTTCCATACATCAGTAATAGATCAATTAACACATCAGCAGTATATCAGTCCACACATCTCTAATTAATGCTGTTGAAAAGAAACATCAATCATTCGTGTTATTGAGAAAAAGAGCAAATGCTTAATCATTGACATCGTTATATCCTTGAATTGAAAACTGCATGCATAATCACCTCGTTACTGGAAGTTGCCAGAGTACAGTTGCTGTATTCTTTCCTGCGTCTGCATACTTTGGTGAGTGTATACTTGGGCACCACGCATTTGGTGGATTCTTTTTAGGAGCCGCTGAAATAAAAATTACAGTAAAAATATATGTATTATCATGTCATATTTTAGTCTTTTGGTTACCCGTAGGGATTCCGGGTGAGACTATAGGTCCCCAGCAACCTACGCTTGTAAATAGCGACTAAATGGACTGTGTGGCCAAGCTAGGTGACTTCATCAATTGCATGTCATCGTATCCTAGTTTTGGTATATGTCTAGTGCAGATTCGATTATTTACAAAATGTCCACATGCAGCTGAAATATTGCTGAGTGCGACGTTAAAAAACAAACAAACAAACAAAAATATTTCAGCTGCTAAATATAGATAGGTTATTATCGTAACATATAGAAGACTAAAATGATTATCTGTTGGTAATAGGCCTCCGTGCTTTAGTTGTAAGGTTGCTGACTTCTTTGTTAAATGCTCATTTTAAAGTTTGTGAAGCCATTTCTTGTATTATTTCTTATGGCTTCGAATCTCATAGCCCTTGGTTTATTAGCACCAAAACCTTTTTTCTGAACCCGCCATAATCCTGACTGGCATTGTATTCTTTCTAGTTGTATTGTGTATTGTTAGTGTGATGTTTAGTATACTTTCTGGCGCTCATATAAATTGAATCTGTTATTTTCCTTTATTGATACAGAAATCAGTATAATTGCCCTTTCATCAATGAATTACATTCTCGCTGGCGATAAGTTCAACAGAACATATTATACTTACGACGGCAGCAGCACGCATAGTGGACGCTTACTGCAACAAATATGTTCGTATTTTAAAAGGTAATATCGCTAGAGTAACATCAAACATTGATAGTTGATTATCTTATTTTATACGGATTTTCTATAGAAAAGATACCTATTCTATATGTTAATAAAATACACACTACCTGCTAAAACAACGGACGTGAGTCCCAGCACTATCATCCTCTGTCTGAAAACAAATCGGAAATTGTGTGTCATTAAGGTAATAACAGCAGATGTGTGTTATAAACGTTATTGTACGGGTTATCTGTTACGAAGGCAATACTCTGTAGTACAGGTTATTCGTTCAGAAGGTTAAACACTGTTGTGCAGGGCATCTGTTATCACGGTAATATACCGTAGTACAGGACGTCTGTTATCAAGGAAATAAAGGTTATCAGCTATGAGTGAGTGAGTTAAAATTTAACGTTGCATCGGCATTATTTCAGCCATATTGCGACGATTATCAGCTATGAAGGTAATACACTGTAGTACGGGTTACCTGTCATGAAGGTAATACACTGTAGCACGGGTAATCTGTTATCAAGGTAATACACTGTAGTACGGGTTATCTGTCATGAAGGTAATACACTGTACAATTTAGCTAAAATAACGGTAACGTTATTTGACCGGAGGTTTCTGTAAATGAAAATGCCCTGGAAGAAAATGACCTTTTTGTCCTGAGCATTATCATGTCCACAACACACCTAATAAAAGCAAAGTACAACCTATGGGTATCTGATGTTACTGAGACGAAGAACATAACAGAGGCTAGTGTGGCACTGGCCTAGAAACATCGAATATGTCACTATAAGTCGCATGGCGTCATTCATCATTGGTCATTTACATATTGAGCTATTCGAACGTCAACTTTCTGAGTTGCTGGACCGTGACGCTGTAAAGGATGGTGCAATGATTGACAGTGCAATGAGGGATATTAGTAACTGCATGGAGGTTTGACGTGGAGGTAAAGATTGTTGCATTTTTCCTTACTGTTGTGTTCGATTCACCCTCCATCTGCAACCTCTTGCGTGTTTTATTATCTAAATATCTGTAGTGTATATATGCACATGACCTCATCGACATATATCATCTATTTGATCGGCATGACAGAGGATATGTGCTATGAAGTTCCTGTGACAAGATATAATGCAATAACCTAAAAGATTTCATATTTTCAAACAGACAATGACCAGTAAAACAAGTTTACACATTTAATGACACATGTCCTGCATAGAAATAACGTTATGACAAGAGAAAGATGCAAGAACAGAATTGTCAATTTACACTTCAGTAGCGTGTGGGTCCCCCTCTCGCTTGGGTGCATGCAATGCATCACCTTCGTATGAACGGATCAAACGTCTGACACAGTATTCAGGGATGGCATCCATATCTCTACCAGCCTGACTCTAAGTTCCTGTACTGTGGTCGGAGCACATGGTAACCTTCGGAAAATGCGGTCCATTTCATCCCACATGTGTTCAATTGGAGAAAGATCTGGAGAGCGGGCAGGCCATGGGATCACATCATGCCAGGTCCATGTTGATTCAAAAACGGCACAACGATATGCTGGATAACCTCCTAACGATAACGCTGCCCGTTCAAATTGCCATTGATCACTTGTTCTTTGTCTCTCGGTGATGCCTTCCCAAAACCTTAACACTGCCTCCTCCGAAACGGTCTACCTCCACAACAAAGTTCTGAGCGTACCGACGTCGGTAAACTCGTAACCGGCCATCACCGTCGTAAGAAGTGAAGACGAGACTCGTCGGTGAACAGAACCTGTCTCCACTGAATTGCCGTCGAATGCACTCGCTGTCTACACCACTGCCGACGTTATCGGCAGTGATTGTAGGTTAGAATTGGAAGTCTGGCTGGTCTCCTCGCAACAATCCCGTAACGTCTAAGACTACGACATACAGTATGTGCCGATATTCGACAAAGTTCATGATCAGTGATTCATGCAGGCTAGAACCGATTTCGCAGATGGGTGGTTCGAATCCAACGATCTTGACGGACGCTCGTAGTGGGGGAGCCTGTTGCTTCTTGGTCGGTCTCTGGCAGTGTTTGCTTGCTGCCACCGCTGCCATAACATCCAAATCGTGTTTCTGTGCACGTTCAATCGCCTAGTAACTTCACGATGTGACCGACGGTCCTGACTGAAACATACCGATGGCTCTCAAGCGGTCTTTTTCAGATAGGCGTGGCATCTCCAAACTTTAAAAAATGATTGAAATATGATGTTTTGTCTTTGTTGCAGTTGTCAAGACAGGCAGAAACAATGCATACCGAATCCAAACAACAGGCGCGCTTTTATACCCTGGTTTACATCATCAATTGCATGATTGCTGCATGAAAGACACTTTTTGCCATCAGATCATGCTTTTCTGCTAAGGATGCGTTTGTGCTACATGTGTCCATATTTTCGTATCTGATTTGAACACCAGAAAGGTTTTTCTTGTATGCAACCGATTGGAAAGGTGTGGCACAGGAACTTTTGTTGCTGAATATAGTAAGTGATATTAAGGTGTAAAACAATTGCTATTTGAAACTCTCGAGGCGTCGCCTGATCAACAGCTAATTCATTAAAAGCGAACGAGTATGGTTTTACGCCGCTTCTAGCAATATTCCGTCAAAAAGTGCTAAGTCTGTCTAACTTTCAACTATGGACCATAACAAAGTGAACTAGTCCATGTAGTACATTGTTTGAGTTGTTCATTACAAGTGTATTTGGTCCAGTGATGCCGTTGGTATATTAGTGACAGCCAGTTGAACGTGATAAGGTTCCAAATGGACACAGAAGTGGAAAAGAACGCCTACCGCGCAGTCATCAAGTTTTTTACTTTAGAGAAAAGTACTTGCCAAGAAATTCATGGCCGCATGTCACAAGTGTATGGGGATAGGTGCCCCAGCTATTCCACTGTTAAACGTTGGGCAGCTATGTTTAAGGCTGGGAGAACAAGCCTTGATGATGGCCCTAGGTCTGGACGTCCCTCAACTTCCATCAATAAATATTTCAATAAAGGAGATAGAAAAACTTATACTGTCAGACAGACATATTACTATTGTTGAACTTGAGTAATACACAGGTCTAAACCATGGATCCATTGGAACTATAATACATGAACATTTACAGATTAGTAAGATATCTGCTTGTTGGGTGCCAAAGTTTCTAAATTCTGATATTTAGGGAAAAGGAAATGACATTGCCAGAGAAAAGTTTGAGCTTATTGTGGAGGAATTCGTGAAATTAAAAAACAAACATTGGTAACGGGTGATAAAACATGGGTCTATAACTTTGATCCCGTGTCATAACGTCAATCCATGGAATTGAACCACTCCACTTCCCCGGCACCGAAGAAATTCAAGTTAAGTCAAAAGACTACTACCGGTGCCTACTATGCTGATTTTCATCGTCGCCTGAGAGATTCTATCAAAGAAAAGCTATGAGGAATGCTAACTGCTGTAGTTCTACCGCTTCACGACAATGCCTCTTGCACCTCCCGACTTGCAAAGGCTGCTATGCGACAATTAGGGGTTAAAGAGCTTCTTCCAACCCCCATACTCGCCAGACCTGGCATCAAGTGATTTCCGACGAGTTTCCTAGTCTGAAAGAAAACTTAGTGCTATAACGACAGCGATGATCTCAAGGCTGCCGTGAATGGGTTTTCAGGGTGGCTTCAGAAAACTTCTTCCTGAGTGGAATAGAAAAGCTACACTACCGACATAAGAAGTGTATTGAAAAGCAGAGAGATTATGTTAAGAACACTTTTGCAATTGTTGGTTTTGTTTGTCAGGCTTAGGACTTTTTTACCAGCACTGGTATCACGGCAGGGGGCACTTAAAATGGGCTTCACACATTGTACCTATGTGGGGGATTGAACAACGCGAGTTAGTGAGGTTTGACAACCAATATGACAACAAACCTTGTGCTTTCTATTCATAATTAATCATACTTTTATTGTACTTATCATAATTTGTAAGAAACACTGTTTGGGCATACAGTGCACAGTACAAAACTATGATCGGTGTCTCCTTAATTCCGATAGATATCCCACTCCAAACATTGAACCCGACAAATGCTACTTCACTTCGCTTTTCATTTTGCCACGGTAAAAGCGAGATTTGCACGTTCTGTTCCAAATACAATTTAGCTCGGTTAAATCTACAGGTAACCTAGCCTCACTTTGAAAACACCTTTGAAAACATGTTTATCTCCTATTTGTTTCTGTATTGTGTATTGTGAGTAAACGTTTTAGGAAATACAAAGAGGACAATGACCAAAAGGAAACATTTGCACCACACTATACTGGATTCCATATTCAAAACTAGACACCATCCTTTGACAGGAGTTGGGGTTTAGATGCTATAAATAACCTCAATGGGGATTCCTGCAGGACCTCGTTCCAGTTTGACTTCAGCGGGTATTGATGTTAAAACAGTTCTGTGGCCTGGCGGAATAAGTAGAATAGGGAATGGGGGTTCTGGACCACTTCCATTAGAGCCAGATTTATATACCTATACCACTACTACAGAGGGAATTTCTATATGTCGAAATGATGATGCGATTCAATGATCGTCGTGATTCATATTAAAAGAAATATTAATTAACAATGGATAAAATTTACTATAGCCCACGAGGATATTGGAAAGGTATAGGAGCAATACAAAAATTAGCAACCACGGCTAAGGTATCTAAAGGTGTGGCCAAGGATTAGCTTAAGAAACAAGCGATGTGGCAAATATACTTACCAGCACCGCGTTATATCCCGAGGAAGAAGTTTGATATTTTTACAACGAATGAAGTTCATCAGGCTGTCCTCTTGTTTCTTCCCCATGATAAGGTAAGACGCAAAACGTATAAATACGATTTAACCGTAGTGGATGTGGCTAGTCGATACAACGAGGCTGAACCATTAACCTCGAAAGATTAAACAGAAGTAGCTAATGCACTAAGCCGCGTATATATTTCGGACCATAAAATGGCCTAAGTTATTTCAAGTAGATCCTGGTCGCGAGTTTATGGGATCAGTAACTAAACTGTTAAAAAAGCATGATGTTGAAATCAGGCGTGGTGAAAAAGAGGCCCACCATAGTCAAGCTGTTGTTGAAAAATTTAACCGGACATTAGCGGAACGTTTGTTTGGCTATCAGTATGGGATTGAAATGAAATCAGAATGATTAAAATCA